GACTATAGCTGAAAGAGGCTGAGGACTAGCTGAAAGAGGCTGAGGACTATAGCTGAAAGAGGCTGAAGACTAGCTGAAAGAGGCTGAGGACTATAGCTGAAAGAGGCTGAGGACTAGCTGAAAGAGGCTGAGGACTAGCTGAAAGAGGCTGAAGACTATAGCTGAAAGAGGCTGAAGACTATAGCTGAAAGAGGCTGAAGACTATAGCTGAAAGAGGCTGAGGACTAGTTGAAAGAGGCTGAAGACTAGTTGAAAGAGGCTGAAGACTATAGCTGAAAGAGGCTGAAGACTATAGCTGAAAGAGGCTGAGGACTATAGCTTAAAGAGGCTGAGGACTATAGCTTAAAGAGGCTGAGGACTATAGCTGAAAGAGGCTGAAGACTGTAGCTAAAAGAGGCTGAAGACTATAGCTGAAAGAGGCTGAGGACTAGTTCAAAGAGGCTGAAGACTAGTTGAAAGAGGCTGAAGACTAGCTGAAAGAGGCTGAAGACTATAGCTGAAAGAGACTGACAACTAGCTGAAAGAGGCTGAAGACTAGCTGAAAGAGGCTGAGGACTATAGCTGAAAAAGTCTGAAGACTAGTTGAAAGAGGCTGAAGACTAGCTGAAAGAGGCTGAAGACTATAGCTGAAAGAGACTGACAACTAGCTGAAAGAGGCTGAAGACTAGCTGAAAGAGGCTGAGGCCCTGTCATTGAGCTAGAGGCAGAAGATTAGCTAAAATATAAAAAACAGACTAGCTAAAAGAAGCAGCTGAAAATGACTTGATAACATTAGCTAAAGGAATCCGAATGCTAAAAGCTAAAGGAATCATAAGACGAGCTCAAATAAGTAAACAAAAACTAGCTTAAAAACAGGAGACTAGCTAAAAGAAGCAGAAGGCTATCTAAAAGCTAAAAGAAACTGAACACAAGCTGAAAGAAGCAGAAGACTAGCTAGCTAATAACATAAAAATAGTAGCTAAAAGCCAAAAGAAGCAGCACATTAGCTAAAAGGAAAAAGGCTAGTAAAAAGCCAAATGTTGCTTACTAGCTACACATATCAAAGGCCTACAGGTTTAAGCTAAACATAGTAAAAGTTTAACTAAATATTAAAACTTCTAAAAGGCTGCTAAAAGTAACAAAATGTTAGTTAAATGTTAGTAAATATTTGGAAAAGTATAAAAGCTACAAAAAACTAAAGTCCCAGCTCCCATCCCCTGAATGAGCCGAAGATTTGATTAAAACGACACAAAGTCTGCAGAAATAGATTGCAAAACATCCAAGCTGCAGACCTTTGGACAGCCGATCAACTGAGTCCTTCCTAAACCAGAACCCACTGAAAAACTCTACAGTCAGCAGAAGAAAAGAAAAGGGGGCGGAGCTTTAGTTTTTGAGTGAATTTACTTTAAAGGTTTTAATATGTAAGTAAACTGGAGTTTGTATGTCCTGTTATCCACATGTATGTTGTTTTTCTGTTGTACTGACACTGACGCTCCCCCTTCCCACCCACCCCCACTGTCGCAGCCTTTACCCGACAGTGCGACACCTGTGTCACGCCTACCTGCGTTGTCATGGCGACCTTCCCAGAATACATCGCTCAGAACGAGGAGCGCGACGGCGTCCGCTTCAGCTGGAACGTGTGGCCCTCCAGCCGGTTGGAGGCGACCCGGATGGTGGTGCCGGTGGCGGCTCTGTTCACGCCCCTCAAGGAGAGAAGCGACCTGCCCCCTATCCAGTACGAACCGGTTCTGTGCAGCCGCGCCACCTGCCGCGCAGTCCTGAACCCGCTCTGGTAGGCATCGCTAACGCTCACCTGTTGACCTGTCCAACAACCGTCTCACCTAAACACCTCCTGTCTCTGTGTTTAGCCAGGTGGACTACAGAGCCAAGCTGTGGGCCTGCAACTTCTGCTACCAGAGGAACCAGGTGGGTCGAGCAGTTCCGACAGGTGGATGAGAGGACAACGTCTCGGAGACGCTAAAACTTTCTGTTCTCTGTCTAGTTTCCTCCGTCCTATGCCGGGATCTCTGAGCTGAACCAGCCCGCCGAGCTGCTGCCTCATTTTTCCACCATCGAGTATGTGGTCCAGGTGAGACTATCAGGACATTAAGCCAGGTCACGGACCCACCATGTCTTCAGAGGTCTGACCCACTCTGCTCTCTCTGCCTTCAGCGGGGCCCTCAGATGCCACTGGTCTTCTTATATTTGGTGGACACCTGCATGGAGGACGAGGACCTGCAGGCTTTGAAGGAGTCTCTGCAGATGTCCCTGTCTCTGCTGCCCCCCACTGCGCTGGTCGGACTCATCACCTTTGGACGCATGGTTCAGGTCCACGAGCTGGGCTGCGAGGGGATCTCGAAGAGCTACGTCTTCCGGGGGACCAAAGATCTGAACGCCAAACAGCTGCAGGTAGAAGAGTTCGGTTCGAGTCCTTCAGAAATGGTTCTGTGTCTCTTTTAGTCGGGTCATACCCGGTGTTCTTCACAGAAAACACGGCTGTGTTACTACATTAATCCACTGAAGTACAAATAAAAGTACATCTAGTCAAAAGTAAAACGTACTTGGAGTAAAGAGTTACTTTTTAACAGGAAGAGAGTGTTTAAAGTTTTATGAAAACGGGGGGTTTTGTGGTTCAGGTTCTGCAGATTTCTAACAGAAGGTTTCTTACAGGAGATGCTCGGTCTCACCAAATCCTCCGGTGCTCAGGGTCGAGGTCCTCAAACGTCCCAGCAGCCTCTGTCCAACAGGTAAACTCTTGTTGTGGGAATTTGTTCCTGTTAGGCGTGTTCTGCAGGTTCCTCAGTGTCTCCTCCCCCACAGGTTCCTGCAGCCTGTGCAGAAGATCGACATGAACCTGACGGACCTTCTGAGCGAGCTGCAGCGGGACCCCTGGCCCGTCACACAGGGCAAGAGGCCCTTACGCTCCCTGGGTGTCGCCATGTCCATCGCTGTGGGACTTCTGGAGGTGAGGCATGAAGGTTCATAGCTCTGCGTAACAAAGCTGTAAAACGGAGTCTGATGGGCACGTTTTGTCCTCAGTGCACGTTCCCGAACACCGGGGCCCGAATTATGACGTTCATCGGGGGCCCAGCCACGCAGGGGCCAGGCATGGTGGTGGGGGACGAGCTGAAGACCCCCATAAGGTCCTGGCACGACATTGAGAAGGACAATGCCAAGTTCATGAAGAAGGCTACAAAAGTAAGAGAGTTCTGGGAACATGTACTTTTTGTTTTAGAAAGTATTGGATTATTGTAAAGTTTTATTTGATAATTTCCATTGGTTCGCTACTCCTGCAGCTTTTTTTTTGTGGGGGGGGGGGACTTTAAACACATTAAAACGTGTGTCTTTAAAAATGTTCCCGTGTGAAAACGGCCTAAAGTTTTCATAATTTGTGCATTTAAACTTTGTACTCCCAGAAGCGTTACGCTACTTCTACAGTTATGTTTTTATAATTTTTCTCTTTCTGCTATATGGCCGATGAGGTTCTCTCAAATGTTTCAAATCAAATCATCCAACTGTTGACACTCAAGCCCGTAATGATGGGATCAGTTAATTAGCTCCAGCCTGTTAAAAATATCTAACTCTGTGGTAATGTGTGTGTTGCAGCACTTTGAGAGTCTCGCCAACAGAGCGTCCACAAACGGTCACATCATCGACATCTACGCCTGCGCGCTGGATCAGACGGGCCTGCTGGAGATGAAATGTTGCCCCAATCACACCGGGTAGGTTTCAGAAGCCTTTAACCGAAGCCAGCTACGGATATTCTGCCGACAGACGGGTATGGGTGTAATGTGTGACAATGTGTTTGTCTGTCAGGGGGTACATGGTGATGGCCGACTCCTTCAACACGTCTCTGTTCAAACAAACCTTCCAAAGAGTTTTCACCAAAGACGTCCAGGGATCGTTCAAGATGGCGTTCGCCGCCACGCTGGAGGTCAAGGTACAAAGGGAGCCACACAGGAAACGGGGGCTCTGCGTTCAGCTCGCGCGTTAACTAAAGCTGCCGTGTTTTTCTCTTTCAGACATCCAGGGAAATCAAAGTGTGCGGAGCAATCGGTCCATGTGTGACTCTGAACGCCAAAGGGTCCTGTGTATCTGAGAACGTACGAGTTCATTAATTTACTTAATGACACACTCCCCCACAAACAGACAAGAACTAAGTTTACTACTGATGGTGTTTTCAGTCTGAAAGGGCTCCGAGTGTTTTTGGAACTGGGAAGCTTCCCCTTTGAAAATGATAGGAACTCTTAAGTCCAACAGATCTCCTCAGTGGAGTCTGTGCACCTGAATGATCCTAGGAGCGCTGCCGTCTGCTAATCTCCCCATGTCAGGTCTCCCCTGGGAGACTGGTCAAAGTGATGGGCCAGACATGGGGTATTAGTGGTTCCCAACCCTGGTCCTTGAAGAACACCGTCCTGCATGTTTTAGTTGTTCCCCTGCTGTGACACACCTAATTTGAATGAACAGGTGATTAACAGACTTCTGCAGAACTTGAGGAAGTAATAAAATCACTGAATCAGGTGTGTTGGAGCAGGAAACAACTAAAACATGCAGGATGGTGTTCCTCAAGGACCAGGGTTGGGAACCACTAATTTCAAGTAAATTTATGGACAGAAGACCACAAGGAGTTCAATGTCCCTTGCCCAGATGTAGGTTGTCAAGGTCCCACCCTAGAGCCAGTCCTGGGGGGCAGGGGGTTTTCAACTATCACCTGGTAACTGTGTTTGCCTATGGGGCCCAGTTGAGCTCAGCCCAGATGAGCTGCATGGGTTTGTCTTCCTGTGGGTCCACCACCTGCAGAAGGAGCCGTTCAGGTCTCGTGTGGGTTGTTTTGGGTGGCAGTGAAGGCCTCGACGCTCTGATCCCGGCGTGAAACGTTACCTCTCTGCTGGGGAAGGAGCCTGAGCTTTTGCGTGAGCTTGAGAGGTACCAACTAGATCTTTAACTTTAAAGCTGTGCAGCTTCACAAACATTATTATTAACTGTATTAGTTTGTATGTTTTTAGCATCAAAGTCTGCTCAGAAAATTCTGGCCTGAGCAAATTTTTGATGTAGGTCCTTAACTTGCTTCATCGTGAGACTTGACTGTTCTTAAAACCCTCAGACTCTACAGAACCGTTTAGTCCAAAAGCACCTTAATAACTGAGAACAGTAGCTCCTCGGGGAACTTGCTGACATGGTTCTAGGAACTGAGTAATGGTTCTCGTTGTCTTGAAGCACCTTCTGTCCTTCAGCCTCTTGTTAGCTTTCATTTAGCATCAATAGATGACCGACTGCTGTTGTTACTTAACTGGTATTTAAAGTTGATCTGTAAAAGCTGTTTTCACTGACGGAATATTTTCTGTGCAGTGAAGCACTCATAAAGTCAGGAAGTACTAGTTATTGTTCACATTTATTTGGCTTTAAGACGATAAAAGTAACAATTCTAACTTTTTGTTTCAGGAAATCGGGACGGGAGGAACGTGTCAGTGGAAGATCTGCGGTTTGGACCCAAACACCACGCTGGCTCTGTACTTTGAAGTCGTGAACCAGGTATGAGAACTTCACCTTTCCTGGACAGTAGAGGGGGTATTTGATTGATCTGAAGGATCGATGTTGAGCAGTAAACGGGTCTAAAGTTAATATTTGAAAGAAATGTTATTCTCACCCGAGATCCACGATGTTTTATTGTTAGTGGTATTTAGACGAACCTCAACGGAGACTCGAGCTGGTTTCAGTATTTACTTGAGATTCTACAGAAAATAAAGGAAAAGCCACAACATTATGACCACCTGCCCAATAACTGAAGCTTATATATGTGTTTCTAAGGACGTCGTGAAAAGATGTACAATTTGTTGGTGAATCGGGGTTTGTGTTATCAAAAACAAAAAACTGCAGTGTTTTTTTAAGCAGATGGGATGCCAAATTAGGCTTGGATAGAAAAATCTGAGGTTCTGGTTCCACAGACCGAGCTTTGGGTCTGTATCATAAAACTATAGTGGTTGCAGTTTCTTCTAAATGCAGAGGGAGCGCTGAGTGACTTCAACGCAGTTTATTAAAGAATGAAATGTTGAAGTTAAAACAAGCAGAACATGTGGTGAAATGAGCTAAAGAAGAGTAAAAAGCACATATTTTCAATCAGAGCAATAATTAGCAAAACTGAAGCTAAATGATAGAATTAGCTAAACCATAGCTAAAAGCTAAAATGAGCTAAACCGTAGCTAAAAGCTGAAATTGGTTCAAAATTAGATAAACTTTAGCTAAAACTGAACCTTAGATAAAAGTGAAGGTGGCAAAACCATAGCTAAAAGCTAAAAATAAATGAATTAAAAACCATGAATGGCTAAAGGGAGCAAAAAAAAAAATTTAAATTGTAAAAATAGATTAGTTTGCTGAAGCAGATTTTAAAATAATTTTTGGAAGGGATTGAAGAGACTTCAATTTTTATTATTTTTTTTAAATGTAAATCAAGTTAAATATTTTGAAACCTATGCAAGTTACAAAAACCAGAAGTCGTAGCTGCCATCTACCGAATGAGGCGAGCGTTTTGATATATGAGCGGCTAAAACAGCACAAAGTCTGCAGCAGTAATTTGATTGCAACAAACATAAAAAAGGATTTACAGGAAAACAACGGCGTGAATGCTGATTCAGCGTTTGATCTTTAAAGTCTACAGAGCGTGATGGAAACAGAACAGCTGAAGAAATGCAACATTTAAACTTCTCAGTTTTGTTGCGCCTGTTACAATTGCAGAATGTTCTCAGTCCACGCTGCAGATGGACTAAAAATATGGTCATTACTTTTTGTGTACGGTGAGATTTATTTCCCAGAATGCACATTGATGGACGCAGGTCATCAGCTTTGTTTGACCCGGCAGAAGAAGCAGCCGTTTGCCTCTGGACTGAGGGTTCAGCAGTGGTTTAGGTTGAGTGGATCGCTGAAGTGTTGGGCAGTGACGGATGTGTTCCCACGGTGATGGTCGCTGCGCTAATGTTGTTGGCCGCATTGAGGTGGAAGAGGGCGTTCCGAGGGTGCAGCCCCTGAGACATCCTAGAACTCTTCTGAAAAAATGTTCTGAAACCCCGAAACACGACTGCCCTGTACCTGCTGAAGTTAGAGAGGCAGACGGTAAGCCGGATCATAATCCGTTGCATTGACGGCGTCTTGGACGCAGTCAGATATTCTGTTTGCTTCGACCTTCTGGGCACCGTCTCAAGACAGTCGAGCTAAATGTTTTATCAGTTCTGCTCCACTGACGAGCTGTGAAGTCGTACTTACGTCTGCGTCATGCAGGAGATCCAGGGGTTGAGGGCGGCGCTGGTCAGGACCAGCCAGGTGGAGAGGGCGGAGGACGTAGCTGGACTCTGCTGACCAGTGAAGGTCTCGTACAAACACACAGAGATGTACGGCAGCCAGCAGACCAGCAAACTCACTGCAGCCAAACAGAAAACTATGGTCACAAATGGTTGGGAGGTGCGGTGTCCAGTCCTGGTCCTTGAGGACCACTATCCTGCATGTTTTATGTTTCCTGGCTCCGTCACACATGATTCAATGGTTGAATTACCTCTTCATGTTCTGCAGAAGCCCGTTAGTCCCCCATTGATTCAAACGAGATGTCTTGGAGCAGAGGAATCTCTAAAACATGCAGGACGGTGGCCCTCAAGGACCAGGATTGGACACCCTCTGGTCTAAAGGTGGTAATGAAGCATTAGTTTGTCAGAACTGGAAGGACACCTGAGGTTAGACGATGGACTCACCTGAGTTTGTGACGATCACGATGGAGCTTCTCAGATAATTGTTGGCCGGAACATGAAAGCAGTGCAGCTCGTTGCAGATGAACGTTCCTCTCCGCGCCTGTTTTCTCGCCACGTAGACTATGTATCCGTGCAGGAAGCACATGAAGAGGATCGGCACCACGATGCCAAACATCATCCACAGCGCCACAAAGTCCCTGCTGTCGGGCGTGAAGTTCGGGCAGCAAAGGAACCGGGACTTGCTGTAGTGGTATTTACCAAATCCCAAGAGTGGCAGGGAGGCGTTTACTAAGCTGAAGAGCCAGACCAGAACCAGCGCTGCTCGGCTTCTTCTGGCTGTCCAGATGCTGCGGTAACTGAGGGCGAAGCAGATCTCTGTGAACTTGTCGATGGTGACCAAGGTGAGGGACTGGATTGAGGAGGTTTGCAAGAGGAGGAAGATGAAGCCGCTCCCCTGACAGATGGCACCCTTGCTGGGGTACGTGACAGACCAGTTCAACGTGTTGTGGACTGCAAAGGGGATTGTGGAAAGACCGACAGCCAGGTCGCTGAGGCTAACGCTCAGGGTGAAGGCCAGCGTGTCGGACTGAAGGTCCTTGTTGAGGAGGAGCACCAGCAGGAGGAGAAGGTTGCCACTGATGGAGGCAGCACTTGACAGAACCAAGAGTGCAGCGTACAGCGTTCCCAAAGCACCGGCCATCTTTAGACGAGTCTGAGGATGACAAATTTAACGGATTACAACCAGTGCTCAGACTCTTCCTCCTGGAGTGTCCTTAACGTCCAGCAGAGGCTAATTTAAAGACACCGACTGAGCCGTCGAACGTTCAAAAGTGATGTCTGAACGACGTCCGTTGAACTTGAAACTGCAACTGGATGTGCTCAGTCAGACATGGCCACCTCTGTTTGTGCAGCAGTTTAGGCTTCAGAGGACACCGGCAGAACTGAACACAAATCTGCGAGTTAAACAGACTCGTAGCGCTAAAGAGCAGAGTAAATAAAGAACGGGATCCCACTCGTAAAGAAAGAACTGGGCGTAATGCAGTTCTGTAGATGCACCAATAAGGGGTGCCGATGCATTAAAGCAGACTTCATAAGATTAACTCCTTAGTCTTCTATTTCCATCACCAGCTTTGGAAAAACCAAAAAAAAAAAACTTAGATTGAGAATAGTGTTGGATGTAGAATAATTATTGTTTATTATTCTTTGACGTCTCTCTCATTGAGAAGCAATGCTTGAGCGTTTGTGTGAACAACGTGTTTCGTGTAACCTGGATAAAGTTTGAAAGTTGTACTTTTTACAGTACTGCTTCTACAAAGTCGTGAAGACCGGTTTAAAAACAGACAAAAAAACAAAATATACGCAATATTCTAATATTGAAGGTTAATGTGTTCTTGAAATGCAAAATTTGTTAGCTGACAACTACCACCTGTTTATCTGCAGAAACTTGTTGCAGTACCTTTAACTGCAGCACACCCACAAAGACATGAAGCTTTTCTGGCTTAAAAATGGTCTAATCATAAAATCAAAGTAAATGTGTTGGGAAAACCAAAAGCACATTCAGCTTTATGGAGTTAGTATTGGATAAGGACCAAAATTAGGATTAATTTTGATATATGTAAAATATGATCTTCAGATTAAGTATTTTTAACGTAGGATGTTGGAAACTTTTTTAAAAACTTACCTCGAAAGTGTTTGAATGTGACTTTTGTAAATCTTGAAGAACCTCGGCTTGGTTTGTTGGCTCCTGGTAAGATGAAACCGTCATCTGGAGGCGGTTTTCTGAACCCAAGGAAGGGTTTGGAGCAGATTACAGTCGCATTATTTACCCAAACGAGCTCAAAACCGATGGTGTTTCTGAGTGAAGACCTGAAGAAGAAACAGAAACCATTTTGGCAGTTTTTGTCCTGGTTGGTGAGAAAACCTCTGAAGCTGAACTGGAGTCATCCCCGGTGGCGTTTGAAGGTCCAGAACCTGTGAGTCTGCGATGCTCGGACCTTTTCTCACACGGTGGGATCACCTGAGCTTATTTAAGGTTTGATGAGTCACAGCAGGCAGGCAGCTTCTGTTGGCGCATCACTCGGCAGAAGGAGCAGAAGATGTGTTGCAGCTCTTTCACTGGTTTATCTTTAAATCCATCGTTTCTTGGTTTTCAGCTCCAGTTGAAACCGAGTTGGTCCAGTTTAGTCCTCAGGAAATGTTCTCTGTGTTGTTCTCGACACGTCGCAGGTTCACCATCTCTGGGTGTAAGCAGGTGACCGCGGGGGGGCGAGTATGTTCCCACAGGGAGCGTTACCACGGCACACCTGTCCATCACCTGCTGAGATAACAAACAGAATTACTTTAAACACACACAATGATCTGCTGGCGGTAAAGTCAACACCGTCTGATCGGACAATATCCTGTTGGTGTTTCTGCGGACAGTCGTTACAGGGAGGGCGTTTCATCTGGACCTCGTTTCAGCTTTTAACCCACGTCATGACCTGGTTAGGTTTTTATAAAAACAAGAAGATCAGGACTAAAATAAGTCTGGACCAGGTTTATGGACCAGATTGGTGTCCTCACCAAGATGGGACGTGCAGGTTTGTTTGCACACGTGTCCCAGGGCCTGACTCCGGTAATAACAGGTGTGCAGGTGTGTAATTACCGTGCTCCTGAACTTCAGACCTCTGCTTGTTGCTTTCAGGCTGCATTTGCTCCGTGTCCTCATGTGCTGAGATTAAAGTGCTGCATCATAATGACTCGTAAGTTTACACCGGCCACAGGTCATCTCTGATGCTCAGAAACATCTGGCGAAAGATTAAACGTGTAACGTACATATGTGAATGATTATTGATAGAATTTAATAAAAAGAAACGAACCGTGTGGTTAATTACTGAGTTGAAGCACCTCTGGCAGCAGTTTCAGCCTCGAGTCTTTGCTTTGCCCAGCTGGGTTTGGGGACGTTCAGAATCCATTCAGGCTCGGTCCATGTGGATGGTGGAGCCATTGTCAAGTTCCTTCAGGATGTTTGATGGGGTCCAAGTCAGGTCTCTGGCTGGGACTTTATGGCCGAGTCAAATCACCTGAAAGGTGCTTGAAGGACTCTCAGACCAAAAGGAATCAGATTTTCTGGTCTGATGAAATCAAGATTGAACAGTTTTACCTCAAAATGTGGAGCAAGCCGGACACTGCTCCTCTTCATCCCCACAATGAAGCACGGTGGTGGCAGCATCATGGTTTGTGTGTGTGTTTTTTTTTTATTCTGGGAAGCTGCTCAGAGCTGGACCAATTGTCCACCTTCCGAAGTGACCGTGAGCAGAGCGCATGAAAAAAAACTACCTTAACCCGGATCAGGGGAGACCTGCAGTTCTGGTTGTCCTTCTAGAACTTAGTCCCATTTTCACAGGATCTTTGAAGATTGATCAGTGAGCACGAGGTTCTCGTTCACCAAGAACCTTCCCTCTTTGCTCAGTGTGGCCAAGCGGCAAGTCCTGGTTGTGCCAAACGTCGTCCACTGAGCGGACATGTTTTTATAGACTTTCAACAAGTTTGTTACTTTAAAAAACAGCCCACATCATGATGCTGCCACCACCGTGCTTCTCTATTGGAATAATGATGTACGTCTTCCCGGGAGCCCCTTCAGAGTTGAACCCCAGAAGAAAAAGATCAACCTCCACCAGACGTCGTTTATCTCTACAATGTTTAGAACGGTCAAAGTGACGTCATTACCTGATCTGCCTGTTTGTTGTTTTTCTGCAGCACAACGCTCCGATCCCTCAAGGTGGCCGCGGGGCGATCCAGTTCGTCACTCAGTACCAACACTCATCTGGACAGAGACGCATCCGAGTCACCACGACTGCCAGGAAGTAAGACCGTCATCCTTCACGCCTCAGTTCTGTGCACAAAACTCGAGTTCTGCTTCTGTCCCGAGGACCTCTGAGGTGAAATTGTCTTTGTTTACACAAAAACAGCGTTTAACTGAATTCTGGACCGTTACATAATGGTACATTTTCATGGTTATTCAGGTGGTCTGAACGCAGCCAGTCTCGAGTCAAGTTGCAGAACTGAGTCACAGAACAACAATCTGAGCAGCTTTTTGTCACGTGTTGACCTAATTGTCTCTAATTTACGTTTATCATTCTGTAATTAAGTCTATTAATAGCTTTACAAGTTCTTTATGCTGTCAGGAATGTAAACTGATCAGTGGGGTTAAGAGTTCAGGTGATTTACCAGTTTGAGATGTGCCAGGTGTGACCAGTCGTACTGGGAGCTGGTGTCGTGTCTGAACAGGGCCTGAGTGTAAACCCAAAGGTTCTGTTTCGTTCCTCCCTTTGTTTTAGCTGGGCTGATGCTCAGACTCAGATTCAGAGCATCGCAGCATCCTTCGATCAGGAGGCGGCTGCCCTCTTGATGGCGAGGCTGGCGGTGTACCGGGCGGAGACGGAGGAGGGCCCGGATGTCCTCAGGTGGTTGGATAGACAGCTGATCCGACTGGTGAGGAAACCAGCCAGACTCGAGTCATTAACGACATCGGGGGCGGTGAGGCTCATTTACGTCTGTTTGCTTTCAGTGTCAGAAGTTTGGAGATTACCACAAAGACGACCCGAACTCTTTCAGGTTCTCCGAGACGTTTTCCCTCTACCCTCAGGTGATCCGAGCCCCAGAATAATCTGCCCGTCAGTCGATGCAAGTCTAACCCCGTTACTTCCTGTTTGCAGTTCATGTTCCACCTGCGGCGCTCTCCGTTCCTGCAGGTGTTCAACAACAGCCCTGACGAGAGCTCGTACTACAGACATCACTTCAACAGACAAGATCTGACCCAAGCTCTCATCATGATCCAGCCCGTTCTGTACGCCTACTCCTTCAACGGACCGCCTGAGGTGGGTGCTCCTCCGTCTGGCTCTGTGGACTAACCCAGGCCGACTCGTAGCTGTAATCTTGTCGATCCGTTGACGTTTCAGCCGGTTCTGCTGGACAGCAGCAGCATCCTGCCGGACCGAATCCTACTGATGGACACGTTCTTCCAGATTGTCATCTACCACGGAGAGGTACGACCACACCCAGTGAAGCTGCACCGTTTGTGGCGTTACAAATGTAACGGCAAACTTTTTTAACGTGGCTTTCCAGAATGTTTATTTATTCATTTTTTTCATTTTAGGTCTGATAAATGCGTGATCATTATTTTAGTTAAAGAAACGAGAAACCGGGAAGATTTTGTGTTCAGCTGTTTGAATATCTTTATGTCCAACCAGGTCAGAAAAAAAAAACTATGTTGAAGATAACTAATATCTTTATTCTTATCATCTGAAAATTGTTTTTTATAAAGATTAAAGTGAAAGGTTGAGAATAATCTCAACAAACCTGAATTCTCAAACTGGTAAAATAATAAAATTCCTCTTATTTTTGTTTTTAAAGAACAGAGCAGCAACAGTCTGTTCGTGGAACAAGTTGCCACTCTTGAGTGAAGCAAAACGAAGCTCTGGTATCAAACCTGCGTCTAATCGTCGTGTTTCTGCTTCAGACTGTAGCTCAGTGGAGGAAGGCGGGGTATCAAGACATGCCCGAGTACGAGAACTTCAAACACCTGCTTCAGGCGCCGGTGGACGACGCTCAGGAGCTGCTGCACACGCGCTTCCCCATGCCGAGATACATCGACACGGAGCACGGCGGCAGCCAGGTGGGAGCTCGGTTCTGTTCAGACTCTAAAACCCACTGCACGCCACACTCACCCCTGTCCTGATGTTTACATCTGTCCTGATGTTTACAGGCTCGCTTCCTGCTGTCTAAAGTCAACCCCTCCCAGACCCACAACAACATGTACACCTGGGGACAGGTAAGACCGTGACCTTTGACCTCAGCAGTTAAAGCCAGGAGACAAGCTGACATGAGTTGTTCCCTCTGCAGGAGTCTGGAGCTCCCATCCTCACAGACGACGTCAGCCTTCAGGTGTTCATGGACCACCTGAAGAAGCTGGCCGTCTCCAGCGCTGCCTGAATAATACTCCTCCATTCTTTAGCTGCCTGAGGCGAAACGACCAACAAGCGTTCTACTTCCTGTCTGCAGCAAACAACAAGCGTTCTACTTCCTGTCTGCAGCAAACAACAAGCGGTCTACTTGCTGTCTGCAGCGAACAACAAGCGGTCTACTTCCTGTCTGCAGCAAACAACAAGCGGTCT